CTTCAGCCCACGATGTTATGCCGAACTTTTACCCTAATCCTAAGGTCTACCTAACCTCCCCCCCTACTTTTACTATCATCCATATGCCTATCTAATAGCCGCTTAAATGCCCTCAATGAGGCCGACTCCACTACCCTGTCCGGCAAATGCCTCTACCACTCTCTGAATAAAGAACCTACCTCTGACGTCTCCCCTGTATCTACCTCCACTCACTTTAAAACTATGCCCCCTCATAATAGCTACCTCCACCCTAGGAAAAAGTCTCTGGCTGTCCACTCTATCTATAACTCTGATCATTTTGTACACCTCTATCAAGCCATCTCTCATCCTTCGTTGTTCTAAAGAGAAAAGCCCTAGCTCTCTCAACCTTTCCTCGTAAGACCTTCCCTCCATTCCAGGCAACATCCTGGTAAATCTCCTCTGCACCTTTTCCAATGCTTCCACATCTTTCTTATAATGAGGCGACCAGAACGGGACACAATACTCCAGATGTGGCCGAACAGGCTTTTGTATAGCTGGAGCATAACTTCACGGCTCTTGAACTCAGTCCCTCTATTAATGAAAGCTAACAGACCATACGCCTTCTTAACAACTCTATCTACCTGGGTGGCAGCTTTCAGGGAACTGTGGACATGAACCCCAAGATCCCTCTGCTCCTCCACACTACCAAGAATCTTTCAGTTAACCCTGTATTCTGCTTTCAAATTTGTCCTTCCAAAATGAACCACATCACACTTTTCAGGGTTAAACTCCATCTGCCACTTCTCAGCCCAGCTCTGCATCCTATCAATGTCCCTTTGTAACCTAGAACAGCTCTCCACACTATCCACAAATCAACCCACCTTCGTATCGTCCGCGAACTTACAAATCCACCCTTCCACTCCTACATCCAAATCACTTACAAAAATCACAAATAGAAGAGGACCCAGAACAGATCCTTGTGGTACACCACTCGTAACTGAGCACCATGTTGAATATTTTCCATCCACTACCACCCTTTGTCTTCTAAGGATCAGCCAATTCTGAATCCGATCTGCCACATTTCCCCCTATCTTATGCCTCCTTACCTTCTGCATGAGCCTACCATGGGGAACCTTATCAAACGCCTTACCTAAATCCACGTATACCACATCCACTGCTCTACCTTTGTCCACGTGTTTGGTCACCTCTTCAAAGAATTCAATAAGGTTTGTGAGGCATGATGTACTCCTCAAAAATCCATGCTGACTATCACGAATCAAACTGTGCCTATCCAAGTGATCATAAATCCTATCTCTCAGAGCCCTTACCAATAATTTGCCCACCACTGAAGTAGGACTAACTGGCCTGTAATTTCCAAGGTTATCCCTATTCCCTTTTTTGAACAAGGGAATGACATTTGCCTCTCTCCAATATTCCGGCACTATACCCGTGGACAGTGAGGACAAAAAGATCATCGCCAAAGGCCCTTGGTTCCCATAGAATCCTTGGATAAATCCCATCAGGCCTGGAGGACTGTCTATCTTCAACTTCCTCAAAATTCCTAGTACAACTTCCTTACTAACATCCACCTCCTCTAGCCTACCTGCCTGTTTCACACTGTCCTCCTCTACAACTAGGTCCCTCTCAGTTGTGAATACTGAAGAAAAGTATTCATTAAGGACTTCACCTATCTCTTTAGGCTCCGTGCACAAATTCCCTTTAAAATCCTTGATCGGCCCTACCCTTTCTCTGGTCATCCTCTTATTCCTCATGTACGTGTAAAAAGCCTTGGAGTTTTCCTTGATCCTATCTGCCAAGGTTTTCTCATGCCCCCTTATAGCTCTCCTAAGCCCTTTCCTTCAGCTCCTTCCTGGCTAACTTGTATCCCTCTGGAGGCTTTTCCGATATATACTGCATTATGTTCTATTACCCTGACGTATTTACGCAAGGTATGATATGTCTGGTTAGTGCACAATATGATACTTTTCACTATATCTGAGTACATGTGCAAATAATAAAGCAAATCAAAATTTTCACCAATGAACAACCCAATTGCTTCAACTTTGTTGACTCCCATCAGTTCATTTGAAAACTCCAGTTAGGCCTGACCTTCCAACGTTGCGCCCCATCAGACAAAAAAAATTAGTCAACTCTAAATTTTCCTCATAACTTTGAGCCTGAAATTATTTCTTCTCTTAATTATCAGAACATTGGGGATTTATTGTTGATACTAGAGCATGCGGTAGTGGACTTTCTGCTGGTAGTTAGTTGAGGCAAAAATACAAGACTCATTAGAGCACTTCACAAAGCAGTTATGAATGAAGTCATTAGGAGTCAGGGGCCACATGCAAGAAAGTCTAGGTCAGGACTTCAAGTCTCCATCCCCTCAATGGTAGACCCTTTAGACCCTTTGATGTCATTAACCTATTTTGATAGCAATGTGCACTAACACCAGCTTTCTATCTTCTGATTTTCTTTTAAGGAAACTACATTCAGTTTCCTCAAACTGAGTTTTGAGCTCATCCTCCTGATTACCAAGAGGGCTGTCGAGGCTAGGTTATTAAAGGTTGATTATAGACTGATTTTTAATCAGTAAGGGATTCAAGGTTATGGGAAAAGGCTGGAAAGCGGAATTGGGGATTATGAGATCAGCTCTGATTTCATTGAATTGTGAATTGGACACAATGGGCTGAATGACCTAATTCTGATCCTATAGTCAAGTTACATAACCATTCGTCTGAAATCATCCCACTTTGTCACACCCATACCCTCTCAAAAGTCCACTTTTGACCAGATAGCCCACACATGATTAGATAGATGATGTTCAAAAACAGTGGCAGATTTGATTATGGCAGTATTCTTGGCCAATGGTCAGACCTTCTATGTTCAAGTCTACCTCTAAAGACTCAGGTATATAATACAGGTTGACACTTCAGGTACAATACCAAGGGAGGGCTGCTCTGTCAGAGGTGTCATATTAACTAGAGGCCTAATTGGCCTTCTCAGGTGCACTAAGTGGAGGAGGAGCAGGTGAGTAGTTAATATGTTGGCAATTTTTTATTCTGAACCAATCCCCATTAATAAATCATTGATTGATGTTTTTGCTGCTGGTTTGTGGCTTGACGTGAACAAATTGACTGTCCTAACTGTACATTAAACATACATGACTCAATGATTTACATTGTGTTGTAAAGGAAACGTGCATTTAGATAGTATCAATTTTAACTTCAAATGCAGGCACTAACTAAAGGCCACAGATGTTTGACCAACTGATAATAACAAGTGACCTATATATACACACATACTTACACACACGACAATGGCCTAGCGGCATTATCGCAAGACTTATGCCAGAGACGACCCAGGTAATTTTCTGGGAATGTGTTTGAATCCTGTCATTACGGAGGGTTGTATTTGAACTCAATAAAAATCTGGAATTAACAGTCTATTGATGACCATGAAACCATCGTTAATTGTCAGAAACCATCCATCTGGATCACAAATGCCCTTCAGGGAAGGAAGCTGCCATCCTTATCCGGTCTGGCCTACATGTGACTCCAGACCGAGGATAAGGTCACACGTCTCCCTGCTGTGAGCTGCTCGAGTTCCAACCTTCCATAATTACAGAGGTCACAGTCACATCACAGCATACACTGCCCCAAGGCTCATCTGCATTTTCATTAAATACTACTTCTATACAGGAGTTCTGGGTTCTGTTGCAGAGCCTGTTTGTAAGTCTATTTGTATGCAAGTCAGAACAATATAGAAAGGAGCTATTTGTAAGTGTAGGAATTATTACTATGTTGGGTCTTTAAAATTACACTGCTATGTGAGATAGTGTTCATAAGTTGGACGTTTGAGAGTGGGGACCCCTGCAGCTCAATTACCCTGCTCACCACCACAGGGTAATGCTGCAACTTAGCCCCGTCTTCCTATCTCAAAACAAAGTAAGGAACACATTGCAGGAATCATTTCATTTTTATTTGTGGACAACTCATGTGAATACATCTTGTGCACATTTGGAAGGTGAAATGAATTAACACCCATATCACCAGGGATTCTGTGCAGTGCTGTTCTGAGACATTCCCACTCGTTCTTAGACCTGAAATGTTGGTCTCCACATCAATTCTTGTTAGTGGTGGAGATTTTCACTAGGTTTCAATATGCTCTGGGTCGTCAAAAAATGTGAACAGGCAAGGTATAGAAGACTTGAAGAACTGATGTTGGCCACGTTGGGGGTGTGGGTTTTGGGATTGGCGGAGGTGAAAGTGGTCAGGAAAGAGAGCTACACAGGGATTTGAACCCATGCAAAAAAAAAAAAAATTCTGAGGAATTAGCTGTCTTGTTTCATTCCAGATTCAACAATGTGCAGGACACGTGCAGTGTTACTTGTTAAGTTTGTATCGTTTTCAGATTTCCAACACTGCTTCAAGAGATTGGGCAGGGGAATTGGGCAGGGAAGGGGGAAGAGAGAGAGAGAGATAGAGAGAGAGAAAGGAGAAGCAAGTGACATTTTGTCAGTAATGACTTTCAAAGTAGGTGCTATTTTAGCAACACGCTGGCGAAACAGCCTCTTTTAAAAGACGTTCCACAGCAGTTCAAGTCAAGACCTGAATTTTAAGATGTCTCACAGTTCATCCAGATTAGAAGATTATGCAGAATTTAAGTGAACAAACTTTAAAGAACCAAAAGCAATTTTTATGGTGTCCCTAATCTGCCCCCACAAGTTTTGTTCTTCTCTGTACAGCTTAGAAACAGTTCTACCAGTAGAGAATGGAGTTTCTGCAGTAGATGTCGCTAGAGAGCTCCCCGATTTTGGAACTGCAGTTGTCACATCTCAACTGATATACGAAGCTAGTTCAGGGAGAAGTTTACAGTAATTCAGCAATGGAGGAAAAAGAAATCAGCTGATCTACATTCTCACACAGCAACCTAAACAAGCATTTACTGATTTGTGTCAGGGTATGTTTTAAATAAAAGTCAATGGCTCTTTCCAAAGAGATTTTGATGCCCTTAAGTCAAACACTGTTTGGAATTAATACAGTTATTTATTTATTTATTTATTTTTTTTAAACAGAGCCACTTCATTCTGTTTGTCTCTCTAAAACAAACCCTTTTCTTTCTTCAGGTTCCTCTGTTTCCACTCTGGCATTGCATTAAATTTCATTCTTGACATATTGAAAACGATCAGGAAATCTTCATTTGAAAGGTACTCCTGTGTGATAAGGGGAAAAAGGACAAGATCTTAGCAATATCTCACTTTACCCAAGGCAAGTTTGAAAAAGGTGGTAACCTCAGCTGATACGAGAATCGAACCTGCATTATTAGCACCTCTCCACATTGCAAACCTAACAAATCAGCCAACTGAAATTGCTGGAAAAGCTCAGCAGGTCTGGCAGCATGTGTGAAAAAAGTCAGGGTTAACATTTCAGGTCCAGTGACCCTTCCACTCTGAGGAAGGGTCACCAGACCCAAAATGTTAACTCTTGACTTTTTTTTTCTTCACAGATGCTGCCAGACCTGCTGAGCTTTTCTAGCAAGTTCTGTTTTTGTTCCTGATTTACCACAGTTCTTTCAGTTTTTAGCCAGCTATTGGAGCTGACCAGCCAGCACAAAAAGGTGGTGGAAAACAGAAAGAGGGGTTGACCTAGGTTTGGTTGGATGACAGATGTCACAGGGCAGTTGCAGTTGGTGTGAGAGGATGACAGGAGATAGATGAACATGATATATCATGTCAGATCTCCCATTGGGAACAGCTACAAGCACGAGCTGCAATATCCAACTTTTCGTACCAACCTTCATTTCCTTTTTGTGAGCTTTTATATGTCACCTCAATGCTAGCATCAGAATCAGCAGTGCCAGTGAACACAAACCCCTACTTGGGCACTCTACGACAAAGATAAGACGCATCAATTTTGTCTGGCTCACCTCCTTCCGTGTAGGATCCACTCCTTGAGGCAGTTCCTCACCCGACTTATTAATCAGTTGCTCTGCTGGGTAGGTCTGGAGATGTTCTTTAGCTGATGACACATTATTGTAACTCTGAGAAATTTGAATGGTCTTCATATCCTGAAAATGGGGAGAAGAGAAACAGAAGAAATGGTTTTGAATAGAACTAATCCAATATCAAGAAAAGCTGTAGCAATTTTGTAGCTTAATGGGCAGTGTGACATGCAAACATATAAATTGGGAGCAGCAGTAGGCCATTTGGCCCCTGAAGTCTGCACTGTCAGTCATTCAGTAAAATCCTGACTAATTGGATTATTCCACATTCCCATCAATCCCGCATTAGTGAACCAGCTGGGTTTTTACAACAACCAATGATTGTCGCCTTGGTCCCAGTAATGGTGACTCTCTCAATATTCCAGATTAATGAACTAAACTCAAGTTTCACCCAGTTCCCAACATGGGATTTGAATCAGAGTCCCCATAGAATCAGCCAGATCCTCTAGAATACTAGTCCACTGAATCTATTACTCCATCCTCTCCCCTAAGCACAGGAGAATAGGAGCAACAGGCTCCAGTCAGCCAGAATTATAATTTTACAGAAAAAGGAAGCCATTCATCCAATCGTTCCTAGGATGGCTGTTGGAAAGAGCTATCCAATTCGTGCCTTTTCCACCCCATCACCCTGCAATTTTTTCTTCAAGTCTGGCTCTTCTGAAACTGCGAACTGTTTTTATGCTGTCATGATTTTGAACCTCTAAAATCTCCTCTTAACCCTCTGTCCTCAACAGCAACCCCATCCTTTGCAGCCTCTCACTTGTCTGAAGGGCCTCATAGGCTCGATACTATTTCAAAAAATCTCTGTACACTTACCCAGTCCTTGACATCCTCAGAGGTTAAAAAGGGGCAAGGAGTCAAAACATTCATTCCATATATCGCTGTATGGGTGCAGCTGAATGTTTCGTAGAAATTAGAGCAAAAGGCTCCTTACGTAAATATTCAAATTGTCATGTTATACAGTGAACAGAACCCCCACCCCCAGCTGATGTTTGCCAGTGAAAACTTTGCTTACTTCTATCAGTTCTTCAATAACTTGAGAATCATCAAACTCCACTTTCAAATCTTCATATCTTCCATCCTTGAAGAATTAGAAAAAGGAAATGAGCACATTGGAAGTCCAGATCACACACACCAGTCTCATTGCTTTACTGAGGGAGTGCCACACTGTCAAAAGGTGCTGTCTTTCAGCACAGACATTAAACTGAGGCCTGCCTTCACAGGCCTCAAGGCCACTGTTTAAAATAAGAGCAGGGGAGCTCTCCTTAGGGTTTTTTTTTATCCCAAACATTAAATTCAGGACTGAGGGGGTCAGTAGCTATACTGCATTTAATTGCCCTCTGGGCAATAAGAATCAACCACATTGCTGTGGATCTAGAGTCACATATTGGCCAGACCACACAATAATGGCAGATTTCCTTCCTTAAAAAGGATATTAGTGAACCATTAGATTTTTTACAATTGACTCTGGTCTCATGGTCACCGTTACACAAGTCTTTAATTCCAGATTTTTAAAAATCGAATTTAAATTTCTTAATCTGCCATGGTGGATCCATTCCCAGAACCTTAAACTGGGATTCTGGATTACTGGTCAAGTGATATTACCAATGTAATGCCCCATCTTTGTAGAAGCTGCACTTCAGGGAACGAAAGTATTAAAATGACTGAACTGCTTCAGGACATCCTGAGGTCATGAACATCACTATAGAAATGTAAGTTCTATTCTTTCAGTTACATTCTCCCAGAACTTGTTTGCTGCTTTGATGCTCATTAAAGAATTTATCACGTCTAACATTACAGGAGGTGGCCATTCAGACCATTATGCCCACGCAAGCTCTCAGCAATCCAAAAATAAAACCACTCCCTCGATCTTTCTCCCTAGTCCTCCAAAAATTCTCCTCTTTAAGATAGTTATCCAATTTCAATTATGATAGATATTGACTCTGCTTCTACTTCCCCTTTCCATCAGCAAATCCTAGATCACAACATACCAACAAGTGAAATAAAACATAGAACTGCAGATGCTGGAAACCTGAAACAAGAGCCAAGAACAGAAATTCCTCAGTTAGGAACATAGGAGGTGGTGGCCATTCAGCCCCTCAAGCTTGCTCTGGCTGCCATTCAGCACCTTCCAAACCCAAAACCACTTCCATCTAGAAGAGGGTAGCAGATACATAGGGAAACCTCCACCTTACACCATTCCAGGCATCATCCTGGTAAACCTCTTTTGCACCCTCTCCAAAACTTCCACGTTCTTCCTATAGTGTGGTGACAATCCAGGATAAAGCAACTCCCACTTGATTTTGCACCACACCCCAAAAACATCACTCCCTCCATCACGGACACCTCAGTAACAGCAATGTGCACCATCTGCAAGATACGCTGCGGAAAATCACCAAGGCTCCCTAAGACAGCATCTTCCAAACTCAAGACCACTTCCATCTAGGAGGACAGGAGCAGCAGATAAGTGGGAACACACCCTGCAAGTTCCCCTCCAGGTCACTCACCATCTTAACTTGGAAATATATCACTGTTCCTTCAGTGTGACTGGAACAAAATCCTGGAATCCTTCTCTATCAGTGTTGTGGGTCTACCTGCAGCACATGACAGTAATAGTTCAGGGAGGCAACTCACCACCTTCCTTGGCAGCAATTAGATTTGGGCAATAAATGCTGACCCAGCCAATGATGCTCAGTTTCCCAGTATGTATATATACAGAAACCACCAACCTCAACACCATGTTCCCATCGTATCCTGTCACTTAATGTCATTAGTAATGAAAATCTATCAATCTCTGTCCCAGACTTACTCAATGACTGGGCTTTCACAGCCCTCTAGGGGAACAGAATTCCAAAGATCCACTGCTCTTCAAATGGAGAAATTCCCTTTCATCTCAGTTCTAAATGGCTTGCCCAATTTTCTGAGACAGTGTCCCCTGGTTCTAGATTCACCAGATGTTTTATTCATCCACAGGATGAGGGCATTGCTGGCTGGACCAGCATTTAATGCTGATCCTTAATTGCCCAGAGGGCAATTGAGAGTCAACCACATTGTGGGTCTGGAGTCACATGTAGGCTAGCCAGGTAAGGATGGCAGATTTCCTTCCCTAAAGGATATTTGTGAACCAGATAGGTTTTTCCCAATGATTGACAATAGATCCATGGTCATCATTAGACTCTTAGTTCCATATAGATATTGAATTCAAATTCCACGGCTGCCACTGTGGGATTCGAACCAGAGTCCTCAGAACATTGCCTCGGTCTCTAGATTAATAATCTAGCAGTAATACCACTAGGCCATTGCCTTCCCCACCAGATGGTGAAACATCCTTTCTGCCTGTACCCTTTTGAGCCCTTTAAGAATTTTGTAAGTTTCTATGAGATCAACTCTCATTCTATCTCCCAAGAATACTAGACCAATCTCTGCAATCATCCCTCATCAGACAGATACACCATCCCAGTCTGGAGAACCTCCGATGTCCTCTCTCTAACAAGTATCCTTCCTTATACAAGGGGACCAGAGCAGCACTCCAGGTCTGGTCTCACCAGTGTTCTATGCAATTGAATAAGTCATCTTTTCTCTCATCCTCAAATCCTCTTGTGATACCAGGCAATGTAGCTTTTACCTTCCAAATTGCTAGTTCTAGATTCTCCAACAAGACAAACTGGCTATCCAAAAATCTGTGTCCCTGCTTTTAAGTAGATTATTTTACATAGGCGTCACTTTGGTCCCCTCCTGACAGGGATACAAACTATCAATTCCCCTTTATTCAATCTATCCTTTAACCTCATCAGGTGGAAGATCAGTCCCACTCCCTAATCCAATTCCAGGGAACAAATGGGTAATTTCCAAGGTCTTAAGGGCTTTTCTCAAGTGTGGTGCCTGAAATTGAACACAATATTCCCATGAAAGCCTGATCGATGTACAAAGGGTTTTGTGCAACTTCCATTATATTTGTACTGAACCCCTAGTTATAGACAATGAAAATTTTTATACTTTCTACTCCCAAAGTCATAGATTAATGTATGTACACCTTCCATACCGTCACCCTAAAGTCTCTCAATTTCTGGACCCCTTTAAAATTAGCAGCATCCCTCGATTCCCAGCGTATCCAAAATTATGTTATGTGTCTTGAAGATGCTTGACTAGGGATCTTCACATCTCCCATGGGATAGAGAATGCAGAAGGTATCCAACCCTTAGTGGAAAAAAAAAATCTTTCCTTATCTCTGTCCTAAATGGCTGACCCCCATCTTGACACCATGGCTTGCTAGATAGGGAAAGTATTTTATCAGCCTGTCAAACCCTTTTAGATACATTCAATGAGGTCATTTCTCATTGAATCTATACTCCACTGGAGTTTACAGTCTAGTCAATCTGTCCTTATAGGTAACCCTTCTTACTGAAGAAGAGTCCAAGGAGTTTTCATTGCACCCACTTTAAATACATCCTTGCTTAGGAAAGTAGTCCATAATGGTATGCACAATTCCAGTGTGGTCTTGTCAAAAACCTATACATTTACAACCAGGCTTCGATACTCTTGTGATGAAAAGTACATTATTCACATGTAATCATTTTTGGAGTTTGGATTTCCAAACAGTGGTATCTGGGTGTTGGTTACTTTTGTGAAGGGCTTTCTTTAAAAAGAAACAGGGTCAGAGAGAGATAACAAGGTGTACAGCTGGATGAACACGGCAGGCCAAACAGCATCAGAGGAGCAGGAAGGCTGACGTTTCGGGCCTAGACCCTAGAAATGGGGGAGGGGAAGGGGGTTCTGAAATAAATAGGGAGAGAGGGGGGAGGCGGATAGAAGATGGATAGAGGAGGAGAAGATAGGTGGAGAGACGACAGACAGGTCAAAGAGGTGGGGATGGAGTCAGTAAAGGTGAGTGTAGGTGGGGAGTTAGGGAGGGGATAGGTCAGTCCAGGGAGGAGGGACAGGTCAAGGGGGTGGGATGAGGTTAGTAGGTAGGAGATGGGGGTGGGGCTTGGGGTGGGAGGATGGGATAGGTGGGAGGGGGGGACGAGGTGGGCCGGGGGGGGGGGGGGGGGGAGGGGGGTGAGATTTTGAAGCTTGTGAAGTCCACATTGATACCATTGGGCTGCAGGGTTCCCAAGCGAAAAATGAGGTTGCAGGAACAACACCTTCGGGTGGCATCGTTGTGGCACTGCAGGAGCCCAGGATGGACATGTTGTCTGAGGAATGGGAGGGGGGAGTTGAAATGGTTCGCAACTGGGAGGTGCTGTTGTTTAGTGCAAACCGAGCGTAGGTGTTCTGCAAAGCCTCCTCTACATCGGGGAAACCAAGTGGAGGCTTGGGGACCGCTTTGCAGAACACCTATGCTCGGTTCGCACTAAAAAAACTGCACCTCCCAGTCGCAAACCATTTCAACTCCCCCTCCCATTCCGCAGATGACATGACCATCCTGGGCCTCCTGCAGTGCCACAACGATGCCACCCGAAGGTTGCAGGAACAGCAACAGCAATTCATATTCCACTTGGGAACCCTGCAGCCCAATGGTATCAATGTGGACTTCACAAGGTTCAAAATCTCCCCTCCCCCTACCGCATCCCAAAACCAGCCCAGCTCGTCCCCACCTCCCTAAACTGTCCTTCCTCCCACCTCAAGCCCCACCCCCATTTCCTACCTACTAACCTCATCCCGCCCCTTGACCTGTCTGTCCTCCCTGGACTGACATCTCCTCCCTACCTCCCCACCTACACTCACCTTTACTGGCTCCATCTCCGCCTCTTTGACCTTCTGTCTCCTCTATCCACCTCCCCCTCGCTCCCTATTTATTTCAGAACTCCCTTCCCCTCCTCCATTTCTGAAGAAACGTCTAGGCCCGAAACGTCAGCTTTCCTGCTCCTCTGATGCTGCTTGGCCTGCCGTGTTCATCCAGCTCTACACCTTGTTATCTCAGATTCTCTAGCATCTGCAGTTCCTACTATCTCAGGGTCAGAGAGTCCTTCCAAAACAGTGAACTCATTGCCCAGAAAAAAGTGGCTGAAGAAGCTGCTGGTGTTATTAGAAAATTGTTTATGCTGTGGTGATTTATTGAAGGTGAGTAAACATCAAAAGCCATTAGCTCATTTTCAGTTCGGAATATCTAGATGAGTTTTTGTTCAGAAAATCCAGACATTGAAAATACTTTTAGGGCAGTTCAGAGGAGGCCTGACTGGGGTCAGAAACATAGATCATAGAATCCCTACAGCGTGCAAACAGTCCCGACGGCCCCTCAAGTCCACACCGAACCTCTCAGCATCCCACCCAGACCCATCCCCTTATAACCCATCTAATCTACACATTTGCTTTCTCACTGAACAGGAGGATGGGAAAATTCAGGGAAAACATAGGCACCTCAGGTTTAGTTTGTGAAACTTCCAAACCAGGAGGGGGTTTGGTTACAAATCTGCAAGGTTAGAATGGACAATGTACAGGCTGTCAGTTGTGGAAGATTTAACATTGTTAGACTTGGGAAAGAATTGTCAAATTATCTTCGGGAAAAACTTAGGACAGTCAGTCAATGGGAAAGAATCTGTCAGGAGTCAATTAAGTAGAACCCTAAAGAGTTGAGATAGGAACTGCAACTTTTGTGGATTTGCATTTCTGTAACAGATAATGTTAGGAACAATGTAACTTTGTTTTGCTGTGTGTTTTAATATCGTTCTAATAGTGTTCTATATTTAGATTGTTTGTTTTTATTTCTGTTATGTTCTATTTTGTTGTTAAAATATATGCAACCTTGAGAAAATGTGTTTTGGAGACTGATGATCTCTAACTAACCTCTTTTAAAAAAAAAAACCACAATCAGGCCAGATTTTATTCTGAGATTTGACTGGTCTAGCAGTCTGTTCAGCTGGGATCACAACACGCAAAGACCAACATATAATTTGCCTTGTGTTGTACATCAAACACCTTTATTTTTAGGTATAGCCTGATCTAGCTGGGGAATAAAGTGTCCCGTGAACACACACATGACCCCACCTACTTACATTCCACAGATGTTGGTCCCAGGCCATGAACCATCCAGTGAATGTTGGGGGCTCAAAACCTTGCTTGACAATCACCATTGGAGTGCCAGGGTCACGGGTGGCTGGATGGGTGTTGAGGTACTCTTGTGCTAGGACAGTAGAATCCTTCTTCTCCCTTTCATTGGCCCCATTACCAATCCACAGGAAAATCTGGCATTTGGAGAGAGAGAGAGACAGAGAACATTTAACTTCCAAGCACCAATTCATTGGAGGAAGCTGGACCTCTTGCCTGGAGAGAACCATGAAAATGACGACCTAAGAGAGGTCCTTGCAAAGGGGTTTGACAGGATTGATGCGAGGATGATGTTAAGTAAAAAGACAAAATGCTGAAGAAATTCAGCAGGGCTGGCAGCATCGGTGGTGACTCCCAAATAAAGGAGACATATTGGAGTCGAAACGTTAACTGTTTCTCTCCCCACAGATTTTTGTTTTAAATTTCAGGCTTTCAACATTCACAGTATTTTGCTTTGAGTGGGGAAGTTGTGGGTCCATCAGAAACTAGAGACCGATTAAATGGGATAGTCACTGATAAATCCAAATAGGAAATTGATGAGAAACTTTAACCAGGAAATGTGGAACGCGCTTCACAGGGAGTGGGTCAGTGCATTTAAGGGTGGGCTGGATAAAGTATGAGGGAGAAAGCAATTAAGAATAAGGTGATGAGATGAGTTGGGAATGATGGTAGTAGGTGTACATCGAGCATAAACATTGGCATTAACCAGTTGGGCTAATTGACTTATTCCTGGGGCTGTCCATTCCAGGGCTGGAAGAACCAAAGAACTGCAGATTATGAAGATCGGAAACAAAAACAGATTACTGGAGAACCTCTGCAGATCTGGCAGTGTCTGTGGAGTGAAAAAGTGTGTTATCATTTTGGGTCCAGTGACCCTTCTCTGAAGAACATTCAATGAATTTATGATGGGAGAAGGATCATGTTCAGCTTAAAGCAATCAGTCCAAATAGTGCCATCAAATTCCTCATCTCTACCACAGAAAGATTGACTATGAATCATACACAAATTAGGAGTAGGCATAGGCCATTCAGCCCTTCGAGCCTGCTCTGCCATTCAATAAGATCATGGCAAATCTGTTAGTGCTCTGAATTTCACATTCCCATCTACCCCACAATAATCTTTGATCCCCACGTCTGATGATAATTGATTTATCTCCACCTTAAAAAAAAAGAATTTGATCCCACCTTTACCTTCTCATGAGGCATATTGGATGGAGGCATGATATAGATGAAGGCCATTCAGTCCATCAAACCCATTCTGCCAATCCCTGAGATCATGGCCAATCTGCATCATGGAATACCCTATCCACTTTCTCAGTGTCAACACGGTCCCCCAACAAAACTCTGTTGATCTGTTGTGAACAATAGGACATGGAATTCCACCACGTGCTATGTTTTTACTGTTACACAACCATGGGATCTACTTCTATATCCAGAAAATTCCAGGAACTGGGACCTATTCTGATTGCACAGTGGAACATTACAGAACACAGATTTGATGCTTGAATTATTCTTTTCATAAACCTGTTCCCAGGTGTCCAAAAGCATAACATCATCATCATCAAGGTCGTCTTGAGTGAAGTCCATGATCTCCGAGGCAATGAAACGCCCAATCTGGTTGGAGCATTCAAACAGGCGTGGGACGACAGTCTCATTTTCCTCTTGTAAGCTGAAATAAAAGAGAGTTACTGATAACAAACAAAATGTTAGTCACCTCTGTTACAGAATAAAACCATTGCTCCATATTCCTCCTACTCTCAAAAGGAACAGGAGGAGGCCATTCAGCCCCTCAGGCATGTGCCATCAGTGAGATCATGGTTGATCTGCAACTCAGCTACTTCATTTACTGACCTTAACTGCATGCCCTTCCACAGTTGGGAGATGATGGCCCAGTGGTATTATTGCTACAGTATTAGTCCAGAAACCCAGCTAATGTTCTGGGGACCCAGGTTCAAATCCCACCATGGCAGATAGTGGAATTTGAATTCAATAATTTTTAAAAGCCTGGAATTAAGAATTTACTGACGACCATGAAGTCATTGGCGATTGTTGGAAAAACCCAGCTGGTTCACTAATATCCTTTAGGGAAGGAAACTGCCATCCTCACATGGTCTGGCCTACATGTGACTCCAGACCCACAGCAATGTGGTTGACTCTCAACTGCCCTCTGAAATGGCCTAGCAAGCGCCTCAGTTGTACCAATCGCTACAAAGTCTCAAAGAAATGAAACCAGACGGATCACCTGGCATCGACCATGGCACCGGAAAAGATAACAGCAGAAACAGCCCTGTCGACCCTGCAAAGTCCTCCTCACTAACATCTGGGGGTTAGTGCCAACACTGGGAGAGCTGTCTCACAGACTAATCAAGCAACAGTCTGACATTATTTGTAAGGAATGATTCTGACATTATGACTACGTACCAGACACCATCATCAGCATCCCTGGATATGTTCTGTCCCACCGGCAGGACGGACCCAGCAGAGGGGATGGCACAGTGGGATACAGTCGGGAGGGAGTTGCTCTGGGAGTCCTCAACATGGAATCCGGACCCCATGAAGTCTCATGGCTTCAAGTTAAACATGGGCAAGGAAACCTCCTGCTGATTACCACATACCATCCTCCCTCAGCTGATGAATCCGTACTCCCTCCATGTTGAGCAACACTTGGAGGAAGCACTGAGGATGGCAAGGCCACAAACTGTACTCTGGGTGGGGGATTTCAATGTCCACCACCAAGAGTGGCTCGGCAGCAGTATTACTGATCGAGCTGGTCGGGCCCTAAAGGACGTAGCTGCGAGACTGGGTCTGCGGCAGGTGGTGAGGGAACCAACAAGAGGGAAAAACATACTTGACCTCATCCTTACCAATCTGCCAGCTGCAGTTGTAACTGTCCATGAGTCCTTCCAGTGGAGAATAACTTCCATCGTGTTGTGTGGCACTATCACCGTGCTAAATGGGACAGGACTTCGCACGGATCTAGCAACTCAAGACTGGGCATCCATGAGGCGCTGTGGGCTATCAACAGCAGCAGGATTGTGCTCCAGCACAATCTGTAACCTCATGGCCGCGGCATATCCCCCACTCAACCATTACCATCAAACCAGGGGATCAACCCTGGTTCAATGGAGAGTGCAGGAGGGCATGCCAGGTACAGCACCAGGCATACCTGAAGATGAGGTACCAACCTGGTGAAGCCAAACAGGATTACTTGCACACCAAACAGCGAAAGCAGCAAGTGATAGACAGAGCTAAGTGATCCCACAGCCAATGGATCAGATCTAAGCTCTGCAGTCCTGCCACATCCAGTTGTGAATGGTGATGGACAATTAAACAACTCACTGGAGGAGACTCCACAAATATCCCCATCCTCAATGGGAAGAGCCCAGCACATCAGTACATAAGATAAGGCTGAAGCATTCATAGCAATCTTCAGCCAGAAGTGCTGAGTGGATGATCCATCTCGGCCTCCTCCAGTGGTCCCCAGCATCACAGATACCAGTCTTCAGCCAAATCGATTCACTCCATGGTGATATCAAGAAACGGTTGGAGACACTGGATACTGCAAAGGCTATGGGCCCTGACAACATTCCAGCAACAGTACTGAAGACCTGTGCTCCAGAACCTGCTGCTCTCTTAGCCAAGCTGTTCCAGTACAGTTACAACACTAGGATCTACCCAACAATGTGGCAAATTGCCCAGGTATGTCCTGTACACAAAAAGCATGAAAAATCCAACCCGGCCATTTACCGTCCCATCAGTCTACTCTCGATCGTCACTAAAGTGATGGAAGGTGTCACTAACAGCGCTATCAAGTAGCACCTACTCAGCAATAACCTGCTCAGTGACACCCAGTTTAGGTTCCACCAGGGCCACTCAGCTCCTGACCTCATTACAGCCTTGGTTCAAACATGGACAAAAGAGCTGAATTCCAGAGGTGAGGTTAGAGTGACAGCCCTTGACATCAAGACTGCATTTGACTGAGCGTGGCATCAAGGAGCCCTAGCAAAATTGGAATCAATGGGTATCAGGGGGCAAACTCTCTGCTGGTTGGAGTCATACCTGGCACATAGGAAGATGGTTGTGGCTGTGGGAGGTCAATCATCTCAGCTCCAGGACATCTAAACAGGAGTTCCTCAGGGTAGTGTCCTCAGCCCAACCATCTTCAGCTGCTTCATCAGTGGCTCTTCCTCCATCATAAGGTCAGAAGTGGATATGTTCAATGATTGCACAATGTTCAGCACCATTCGTGACTCCTCAGATACTGAAGCAGTCCATGTTCAAATGTAACAAGATCAGACAATATCCAGGTTTGAGCTAAGTGGCAAGTGACATTCGCGCCACACAAATGCCAGGCTATGTCCATCACCAATAAGAGACAATCTAACCACCGCCCCTTGACATTCAATGTTGCCATCACTGAATCCCCCACTATCAACATCCTGGGGGTTACCATTGACAAGAAACTCAATGGACACACCACATAAACACAGTGGATACAAGAGCAGTCAGAAGCTGGGAATACTGTGGCGAGTAACTCACCTCCTGACTCCTCAAAGCCTGTTCATCATCTACAAGGCACAAGTCAGGAGTGTGATGGAATACTCCCTACTTGGCTGGATGAGTGCAGCCCCAACAACACTCAAGAAGCTTGACACCATCCAGGACAAAGCAGCCGCTTGATTGGCACCACATCCACAAGCACCCACTCCCTCCACCACCGACACTCAGTAGCAGCAGTGTGTACTATCTACAAGATGCACTGCAGAAATTCACCAAAGATCCTCAGACAGCACCTTTCAAACCCACGACCACTTCCATCTAGAAAGACAAGGGCAGCAGAAATAGGGGAACACCACCACCTCCAAGCTCCCCTCCAAGCCACTCACCATCCTGACTTGGAAATATATCACCGTTCCTTCACTGAAGCTGGGTCCAAATCTTGGAATTCCCTCCCTAAGGGCATTGTGGGTCAACCCACAGCAGTGGTTCAAGAAGGCAGCTCACCACCACCTTCTCAAGGGGCAACTAGGGATGGGCAATAAATGCTGGGCCCAGCCATTGACACCCACATCCTATGAACAAAAGATATGCATCCTGGTGTTTTGAAGTCTCAGAAGTTTCTGCAGCAAACCTGTTGAATCTTTTAAAACATCTTGCACAGATAACCAAACAGGAGAGAATACAAACCTGGTTTCTCAAACCAGTCTTCTTCAATAAAGCCTCAGGAGGTCAATGTCAGTCAGTCTGCTTTCTTACATTTTGCCATGACCTGCATCAACTTATTCCCAAGCAACTGTTTGAGGGCAAGTCAAGCACCTCTAATGACCTCCAGGCATTCTGGATTGCTTTAATGTCAATGAAGGTCTTTGGAAGGATGGTCATTGGTGTATGCAGGAAATGCAGCAGCCAATTTATGCACAGCAAGCTCCCACAAACTGCAATGTGATAATGGCCAGGCTCTGAGCTCTATAATAACAATAGTGATGTTGAATGATCAATACTGGACACCAGGGAAACATTTGCTCCTCTTCAAGATGATGGCCATAGGATTGTTTATGTTGCCCTAAAAAGCCAATTGATCATTACTTTTGAGATGTCACACAGGAAGACAGCAGATCCAGCTCTCTGTGTTGCAATGGGAGTTATGGATTATCTGCTCAAGTCTGTAAGGTGGGAACCCAATCCATAATCTGATCTTTGTGGAGTACATGGGTATCAGCTGTATAGAACTTCACTTAGGCCATGTTTGGAATATTGTGTACAGTTCTGGTCACCACACTACCAGAAGGATGTGGAATCTTTGGAGAGAGCACAGAAACAGTTTACCAGGATGTTTCAGAGATAGTAGGAACTGCAGATGCTGAAGAATCTGAGATAACAAGGTGTAGAGCTGGATCTCCACCTCTCGACTCCATTTTCTCCCCCTTGGTCCAGGAACTCCCTACCTACGTCCGTGACACCACCCACGCCCTCCACCTCCTCCAAAACTTCTCATTCCCTGGTCTCCAACACCTCATCTTTACCATGGGATGTCCAGTCCCTATACACCTGCATTCCCCATGCAGATGGCCTAAAGGCCCTCTGCTTCTTCCTGTCCCGCAGGCCCGACCAGTCCCCTTCCACCAACACCCTCATCCGCTTAGCCGAACTCGTCCTCACCCTCAACTTCTCTTTCAATTCCTCCCACTTCCTACAGACAAAGGGGATGGCCATGGGCCCAAGCTATGCCTGCCTCTTTGTAGGATACCTGGAACAATCCCTCTTTCGAAGCTACACTGGCCCTAAACCCCACCTCTTCCTCTGTTACATGGATGACTGTATCGGCGCCGCCTTGTGAACAGTTCATCCACTTCACCAAAACCTTCCACCCCAACCTTAAGTTCACCTGGACCATCTCTAATACCTCTCTCTCTCCTTCCTGGACCTCGCTGTTTCCATCTCTGGCAACCACCTGGAAACCAATATCCATTTCAAGCCCACCGACTCCCACAGCTACCTAGAATACACCTCCTCCCACCCACCTTCCCGCAAAAATGCCATCCCCTATTCCCAATTCCTTCGCCTCCGCCGCATCTGCTCCCAGGATGAGCCATTCCACTCCCGAACATCTCAGATGTCCTCGTTTTTCAAGGACCGCAACTCACGCTCCCCCACCCCCCACCCTCCCACGCAGTGGTCAAGAACGCCTTCGACTGTGTCTCCTGCGTTTCCCACAACTCATCCCTCACATCCCCTCCCCGCAATAACCAAAACAGAATCCCCCTCGTCCTCACGTACCACCCCACCAACCTCCAGATCCAACGCATCATCCTCTGACACTTCCGCCATCTGCAATCCAACCCCACCAACAAAGACATCTTTCCCTCCCCACCCTTATATCTGCTTTCCGGAGGGACCACTCTCTCCATGACTCCCTTGTCTGCTCCACACTCCCCTCCAGCCCCACCACACCCGGCACTTTTCCCTGCAACCGCAGGAAGTGCTACACCTGCCCCTACACCTCGCCCCTCACCCCCAAGACGACTTTCCACATCAAGCAGATATTCACCTGCACATCTGCTAATGTGGTATACTGCATCCGCTGTTCCTGTTGTGGCCTCCTCCACATCGGGGAAACCAAGCGGAGGCTCGGGGACCGCTCTGCGGAACACCTACGCTCGCTTCGCACTAAACAACTACACCTCCCAGTCGCGAACCATTTCAACTCCCCCTCCCATTCCTCAGACAACATGTCCATCCTGGGCCTCCTGCAGTGCCACAACGATGCCACCCGAAGGTTGCAGGAACAGCACCTCATATTCCGCTTGGGAACCCTGCGGCCCAATGGTATCGATGTGGACTTCACAAGCTTCAAAATCTCCCCTCCCCCTACCGCATCCCAAAACCAGCCCAGCTCGTCCCCGCCTCCTTAACCTGTCCTTCC